TTGACTCATGCTAGATAAATGTGTAATATTACTTATTGATTTGTATTATAAAAATGTTCACTTTAAACATAAATTCTTCTATCAATGATGAATGGACAAACTTCAAAGAAAAATTTTATAATCAATGTAGTGTTTTTCCCATCTCTCCCTTAAAAATAGTTTCTTTTTTTATACAGGAAACCAAGCTGTTTTCTAGCTGGCCAAAAGTATAACCTTGGATTTTTTTTTTTTTTTTGCAGTCCTGAGGCTTAACTCAGGGCCTTACACTAGGCTGGTATTCTACCACTTGAGCCACTCTACCAGCCCTAAGCTCAGATCTTGTTTTATATAAATCATTTAAAAATATTCCTGGATATTTAATTCTTATTTGAAATGATTAAATTCACATCTATTCTTGGTTGAATCTTGAGAGGAAACGTCTTATCAAACTTACAGTACATTTGTTGATAATGTCTCAATATCACCCAGTTTATTAGCTTTAAAACTTTCTATACAATAAGCAGCTTATTTTTGTTATTATGTTGTAACAAATTACATTTGGTATCATCATGAAACTTGAGGTGTCCCTTATTCCATTTTCTTTCTGTCTCCCTCTCTTTTTAAAACTGTTCCAGTAGAAGGACTAGCTTCCGCATCTATGTGCAATTTTGTATCAGTAGTATACCTACTTTTTCTTCTTTTTTAGAAAGGTTTTTGCAGTTTATTAATCTCTGGTGAATAATTTACGCAATCACTAGAGATAAAGTTATTGTGTCTACATCTTGGTAAGTGCAAAGCCCAAACCAAACATAGTCAAGAAATGAGTGGAGAAATATTTACTACCTGCAGTAGGTAAGGATAACACAGGAGTCACTTCTAAAACAATACCCTTCCCTAACATTGGAAGACTGGGGATTCATATAAGAAAGTACATTAGGAGCAGGCTCATTTCTGAGCATGCTCAGTTAAAGAGTACATTTCAGAGCATACATTCAGTTTAAAGCCATAGTTCAAGAAGGAAGGATGACAGACACATTTTTGGTCATGCTTAGCTCAAGGTCATGGAGCACATGTTAGGATATATTGGCCAAGAGGAACACTTTTGGACATGCTCAGCTTGTGTCATAAAGATGGCAGACAGGAATACCTCTGGGCAAGTGCAGTTTTCTCCAAAAAGTTTTAGATGACAAAAAAGGAAAGGATACTTTGAAGGTATATAGGAGTTTGCCTCTAAAGGTGCCTGCCTTACTTAGTGGCTAACAGATTCTTTATTCCTGTGCTTTTTGCCAGTACCATCTTTGCAGTTCCCCTGATTTTCTTCATCCTGTTTTTGTGTTCCATTTGCTGTTTTCTTGAGTTCTTTTTCTTCTCAAATATACCATGTTTTGCAAGTTTATACTTGTGTTTATTTTGATACTGGAGCTAGAGCAAAAGTCCAGCTCCAGGGAGTCCCACGGGATTGGGCTCTGCCACCTTCCTAGAAAGCCAAATAGAGATGAGTGGTGGTGAAAGCAGGCAAGGAGCTTTGTTAGTAGTGATCACATGATGAAGAACAGAGGTCTAATGACCTAAAATCTGTCTTCAAAGTGCATATGGCAGTTTCTGTTATATAAGAAAAGAAAGACAGACAAGGATTGGGGGTTTTCATAGTAGTAGTTCAGGTTGTCTTGGTCTGGCTGGCTCTGGCCATTAGCTCAGCATCAGCTATGCAGAGATATGTTGGTGCCAAGAAGGTCTCTATTGCTTAGGGGGAGTTGTGGTCCTTTTGAAAAGATGTTCATCAGTCAGCCTACCTAGGATCCAAAGTAGCTGTAGAGGAGAAAGACTCAGAATAACTCAGAGGAAGGAAATAAAACAAAATGGAGTTAGCTAGGTCAGTGACTGGACCCTCCCTTTAAATCCCCACTGTTGCACCCTCATTCCATTTCTGTGGGAGTGGGGCTGAAGGTGGGGTCTTGTTAACTTCTCTTTGCATGACCCAAAGAATTATAAATGATGCCAAAGCTAGTTGACTTGCTATTATCAAAATGTGTTCTGATGACATCTGGTGTGGTTATGTGCATTTTGGCTAGTTTTTCCCGAGTTTCTGCTTAGATACTGTTGCCTTCCCAGGGTGATGGGCACTGATGACCATTTGTTTCCTCTGAAGTAGTTGGTTGGTCATCACCTTCGTACTCTGGATAGTTACTGTTTGATTCATGATGGTGGCTAATTCTCAGTCAACCAGGGAGGACAAAAACTGCCTTCTTTTTTAAAAATTTATTAATTTTTTTGGTGCTGGGAATTGAATCCAGGGTCTTGCAATTGGTAAGCATGCACACTACCACCGAGCCACCACTGAGCCCCACAATCTTCTTTAAAAAATAAAAAGTTATCCATTCCATTTTTTTAAACTAGAAAGATAATTTTATTGTAATGTAATTAAAACAGTGTTTCAGATTAGTAATTATAGTTTATATAGGATATCATGAATTTGTGCTGCCTACATGAAATATTGAAATCAATCTTCTACAATGTTACATCAGTGTGCATAGAACAAAAAGTCTTTCAAACTGAGTCAATTTTTTAAAGATCCACTACATTGGAGATACCATAGGACAAATTGTACCTGGAAGTTTAAGTTGGTAGCAAAGACTTTTTGTTACTGTTGTTGGGGAATCGAACTCAGAGTTTTGTGCTTGATGGGCTCAACCACTGAGCTACATCTCCTAGCTTCAGGTAAGGAAGACTTTATTCAAAGACTATGGGAATAAGGGAAAGTGATTGAACTCAAATCCCAATACAATTGGACTTATAGCCAAGTTGCAGGGTCAGTAGGTTAGTGCGTGGAAATGTAGCAGTTGTACTTGGTAAGATATCAAGGGTGGGTAGGAGGAAGAACTTCATTAGATTTCATGGGAGGAGGGTGAAGAACTTGATTAGGTTGATCAGGTTGGAGGGTAGGGATGAGAAGCTTGATTAGAAAGCAAGAGTGGGGGAATTCTCAATAAACTGGCTTAGCAGGATTCTTGCTAGTTACAACAGTCCAAACAGGACAAGGACTAGTTCTACTTGAGAAGAATTCTCAGAAGAGCCTAACTAAAGCTTGGTCAAGGAGGGAGGTTTTTTTTTTTTTTTTTTCAGTGCTGGGGTTTGAGCTCAGGGCCTACACTTTGAATCACTCCTCCAGCCCTTTTTTGTGTTGGGTTTCTTTGACATAGGGTCTTGCAAACTATTTGCCCAGGTTGGCTTCAAACCCGTGATCCTTCTGCTCTCTCCCTTCTGAGTAGCTAGGATTACATACATAAGCCACCAGAGCCCATCAAGGAGGGAGTCTTTGTCAGTAATATTAGAAGCTATAGTATCATGCGATGAAAACGTTAAGGCAAAATGTAATCCTACCAAAACAATAAAGTCGTGTTTAAGGTGGAAATATGTGTTGCTTTAGCTTAAAATTTTTTTGAATTAATCAAAATTCAATGTAATTAAAAGTTCAGTCCCTCATTTTCTTTAGCCACATTAAGAAAAAATCCCGACTCACACCTGTAATCCTAGCTACTTTGGGGGACTGAGATCAGGAGGATCACTGTTGGAAGCCACTTCTGGCAAATAGTTCTCCAGACTCCATCTGCAAAAATAACTAGAGCAAAATGAACTGGAGTTGTGGCTGAAGTGGCAGAGTACTTGCTTTGTAAGCATTAAGCATCCATTTACCTCCAAACCACGTCATTATTCCTATGACTGAGTAATACTCCATTGTGTATATATACCACAATATTTTGATCCAGTCATCAGTTGTAGGGTACCTGGGGACTCTACCACTGAGTTTCATTCCTAGTCATTGGTTTTTTGAAATAGGGTCTTTCTAAGTAGCCCAGGCTGGCCTTGAACTTGCCATCCTCTTGCCTCAGACTTCTGAGTGCTGGGATTACAGACTTGTATTACCAAACCCAGCTTCAAGTATGTTTTGATACCTTTGGAGAAACATGTATATCATGAGAATATAGGTTTACTTTGCTCACATTATTATTTATAATATGTTTTCAGACTGAGATTAAATACAGGACCTGAAGGATTTACAAATGGCAAAATTAGGCTTTCCTTTCATAGTCCAGGTCGTGTGATTATAGCTAAGTAGAAAACCCTACTCCATTATAATAGCAAATGTGATTTTGTTTTGTGCACTCTTAGCTAAGACATGATTATGCTATTTCTCATCGTGAATAGTGATTTTTACACATGATAAAGCAGGCTAGTATATTTGCATACATTATAGATAGAATAAGCCATTGCCTTAAAAACAATTTTTATTCAGTTTTAAGATTTAGTGTTCAACAATTTCTTCTTAAATAAAAAAAAAAAATAAGTGCTCCTGTAGACTGTAAAATGAAGGAGAAGCTTAACTTTACTGTGGAGTCTGAGCTGGGTGTAACCTAACTAGCTAGAGGATATGCAATTCCTGATTGACAGCAGGACCAGCATTATGCAAATTTTATAAGGGAGAACACCCAGCTCAGAAACAGTGATTAGAGCTCTGTTAGAAATCACTACACTCACTACTCATGTCTTCTAGTTTTCGGTCTACTGAATTTGTAAACAAATAGCACAAAACAGTTCCTCTTTTGTTTTTATTAAAGTGATACTGCAATGCAGTTTCAGTCTATCAGCCAGGCATGCCTGTGAGGAAATTCGATAGTCTCACTAAATTAGCTAATTTTTAGCTGTGTTCCATGCTTATCTCTAGACCTTTGTGCATTAAATCCTATCTGGAGCTGTTCTCTTTATACACAAGTGTGTTTTGCTTTTGCCTTCCTGCCTTCTTCAGTGAGAAGCTTTATGTAGGTCAGGCTTGGCTTAAGCAGATTTCCTGAACCTGCGTCAGCTTAAGCTGGAGGAATTTTAATAAACCCTCCCCTGTAGGCGTGGGCCTAAATGAGGCTAGCCTAGTTAAGCCTGATCTTTTTCTGTTTGTGAAAAGAGCTGAGCAGAGCTGAAGGCTGCATGGTGGTTTCACAAACTGCCTACTGAATTTCAAAAGAACAATGGTAGGAAAGGCTAGATCTTCCAATTTTACCTTATCTGAAAAGCTTGATTTGCTAAAGCTTGTGAAGCCATATGTGAAAATTCTCGAAGAACACACTAATAAACATTCAGTAATAGTGGAAAAGAATAGATGTTGGGATATCATAGCAGTTAACTATAATGCAATTGGAGTAGACCGCCCTCCTCGAACAGCGCAGGGCCTACGCACCCTTTACAAAAGGCTCAAAGAATATGCCAAACAGGAGCTATTGCAGCAAAAAGAGGCCCAATCAGATTTTAAAAGCAATATTTCTGAGCCAACCAAGAAAGTTATGGAGATGATTCCCCAGATTTCCAGTTTTTGCCTGGTAAGAGACAGGAACCACATACAAAGGTAAGCTTTATTTTATTTTGTTGTGGAAAATTATGGCGCCTCCTATCTATTGGGCTTTGGCTTAGTTGTGGTAGAGATATGCATAGTAAGCATCCCCACCACGGGAGCACTGAATAGTGTCTTTGTTTTGCTTTCTTAAAAAAAGAAAAGTGAGGCTATAAGGAATTTTTCTGCAGCATTTGATTTAAGCCATTTTTTGCTGTCTTGTCCTCTCCTCTTACAGTTTCTAAAAGTAAAGGTTGGGGAAGAATAAATGAGATGAAATTTGTGACTTCAGTTCATAAACTTTTCAAACTGCAAAATTCAATTATTTAATTTGCTTCTGAGAGATACCTTTTTCTTATTTAAGATTATTTCATTGGATTTTTCAATTTCATATAAAATTTATATAAAGTTAGCAGTTCCAGGAAAAAGGAAACTGCTTTTTTATGAAATGTCACTGTATACATTTATTCAATATCATTACACTAACAAGTGGAACTAAAGTCAATAATTAAGTCAACTTGTTAGTGACATGATTTTGTATATATGAACACAGGTTTATTTATTTTTCTAATATTTAAAATAGGTAAAATAGACACAACTAAAGGGAGTTAATACCTAATTAAGAGATTCAGATTAGTTAATAAAATGAAAAGTTTTTGTTTTTATTTATTAATGGTCTAGTTTCACTTTGATCTAGAGTTAGACAAAAAAGGGCAAACTTTCTCATACTACTTTGCAAGGATACCAAACTATGAGTTTTAATATACCCATAGAGCAACTGGGTTCTTTCAGGGTTAAAAAATAACTTGAGGGTTAAATTTGTGCTGTATGGAACTATTTGCCTAGGAAACTTCAAAACTGTTACCTTGCTACTAACTCACATTTTAACCCTTTGCAAAAGATAAAATGGCAGCTACATTCTTCTTCTGAACCACTTAGGGTAATTTAAACAAACTGTAGACTCCTTGTTAGTTGAAGGGCCTTTCAAACAAAGCTTTATACAATGTGCTTTCTTACTGGTAGGAGAGGCATTACATAAGCAAAATTACTGATTACCTGTGAAATCTCTTTGAAGTTAGGAAAGAAATAGAAGGAAAAACTTTTTTAGCTGAGCAGATCTGTTATTTTGGCAATTTATTAGAAAAATTTTTTTGAGCCTAGCTTCTTGTCATATATTGCTTCATTTTACTTTATAGCACAGTAAAAAAGTATCTGTAGTGGGAATTGCAGGTCATTGTTACACAGTGTGGATTAATTCTTGGGACTATTGGTTAAAATTTTCACTGTGATGACAAATGATGAATTCTAATATGTTGACTGACCATTAATTGCTACAGAAAATTGTTGTATGCTGTGCTACTTATCTACAATTTCTACCACCCTCTAACCATAGAGAAAAATGGCTTTTGCATTACAGGTGTAACAGTATGCCTTTTGAGTATTAAATTTAGATTTTTATAATGTCAAAACAACACAAAGAAACTGTAGTTTTAGTTAGCTGTATATTTTATAAGTATAGTGAGTGTAGAAGAGAAATCATCTATAACTACGTATCTGTTTACTTTTTGACCATGTATGTATATATAAATGCTTCATATACACACAAAACTTTTTGAGACGCCAACATTTCTTTTATCAAAATCAGTTAACTGATTTATATTTTTCTATACCTTTTAAATAATACCAACTTTTTAGATTTTAAAGGGAAGAATACATAGTTTTTACCTGTTAGTATCTATACTGACATTTTAGCCACACTAGCTTATTTTAATATATTTTTATATTTAATGTGCTTATTCAGTGACATCACCTTCCATCTTTATTATCTCTGTTTATAATTCTATAATTTTAATTGTGTTTCTTCATAAATATAATTTAATCTCACCAAACTCTCCCCTCTTTATAAGGAAATATTATAGCTTGTATTATTTAACATATTTAAAAATATATACCTGTTTTGTAAGTTTATTTTTAAAATTCACATTGATTTATGTCATTATTTTTGCCTCTCTCTATTAATCAGATTATATTTTGTGGTTTTTGTAACCTCTTTGATCCTCTAAAATCAGATTCATAAATTTTAGAAGTCCTCTGTTTATCATTGTTGTGACCTTCCCTAAACTTGTTTTTTTACTTTAGGCTTTACTTGTAACATTTTAATTAAAATGGAATGGAATATTCCAGATACAAGCATACTTTTAACTTACATGGGAGTATAATGTCTTTGTTTATACTCTGCTATGCATACTAATTTGAAAAAGTAATTATGTAAGTTTTTTAAAATTAATTTTCATCTGTAATTTTGATCTTTTCCATTCCAGTTTTCAGTAGTGATGTTAATAGAAGCAAATCTTGTTAATTTGAATTACAATACAGTTCATTATTTTGCTTTTGGAAACCATAAAATGAAAATTAAAAGAACAAAACTGAAAGAATTTATAATCTACAAATAGATTTTTTTACTATATATTATATGTATTGAGTTGTTTCTTTTGTGTCTTAGGCAAATATCTCATATTTCTAGCATGTCTTGCCATTTGTAAGTAACATGTGGGGAGTGAAAATTTTCATTACATTCTGCTTGGACCATTCCAGCATTTTAATCACTCACGTAGATGATTAATAGTATACTTATTTATAATTTACTAGTAAATATGTTAATAAATGGTAAGTAATGACCATACTTATCATTTATAAAATGTCCTCTAAATAATGTTAGCATATTTCCATGTGTTTTAATATTCTCGTTCCCATCTATAACTTTTATTTTTAAGTTAGGCAGAAGCATAATTAAGAAAAATCTTAAGAAGCAAGATGATAAATTAATAACTTCATGTTATACATGAAATTATTTATTTATTTATTGTGGTACTGGAGTTTGAACTTAGGCACTATACCATGAACCACTCTACCAGCCCTTTTTTGTGATAGGTTTTTTTGAGATAGGGTCTCACAAACTGTTTGCCCTGGGCTGGTTTTGAACTGCAATCTTCCTGATCTCTGCCCTCCTGAGTAGCTAGGATTACAAGCGTGAGCCACTAGGGCCTGGCTCTAGGACCATTTTGAAGAGCGTTGATTGTCAAATTTTCTCTTAAGTATAAAGCACTATCTGTTTTTTAAAATCAGTCAATCTATCTATCTGTCTTTTCCCCATGTCTTCCCATTCACAATAAAGACCAGGCACAGGACCAGGACTGAGATGTATATGGGACAGGTTTACTTTGTCTCCTCTTTCTGTACAGTCAGTGTAAGAACACAGCCTGTGGTAAACATCAGGAGGCCATATGAAATTACTTTGAAAAAGTAGCAATTCAGGACTGGAACTGTGGCTTAAGTGGTAGGGCACCTGCCTTGCAAATGCAAAGCCCTGAGTTCAAACTCCAGTACTGCCAAAATAACCCCAAACCAAAAACAAACAAACAAACCCAGAATTTCAAGGTGCATTGTCAAAGTAAATATTATACCAAAGTTTGAATTAAGCTAAAATGATAGTTGTGTCTATGAGGAATGCATGTTTTATGGGAGTTAACTATGTTTAATAAACCTTCAGCATGTCTGTATTAGCTCTTTAAAAGCATTTCATTAAAATTATTTTAGTTGATCATTTGACATATAATGAACATCCACTAGGTTCTAAGTACAGTGCTGTCTTATGTTAGGTGCTAGTTATACACTGATGGATTAAAAACTCTTGCTCTTAGGAACGGCATTTGACCATGGTTCAAAGACTTACAGGTTTAGGACAGGTAAAGGCGGAGTGCTACTGATCTGAAACAGTATAAGTAGGATAAGTCCCTGATAGTTAGTCATACTTGAAACCACACCAAATTTTTATTGTTATTTGTTTGGGCAAATGCAGAAATCAGTACCTCCTATAGATAGCTTTCCACTGTTTTCCTGAAAGTCATAGGCCTTCATTGGTTTTAGGTCAATTCAAGAGAACAGAGGCAGGAGGTGTAGGACTAAGGTATGGAAATAGCAAAGCCCAGAATACATGAAATGACCCATTACAGCCATTTAAGAACCTCAAAGTTGTAGGATCAATTGGTGCCTCTTTGAGAGCATAAAGAGTGGATTTTCTTTTTTATCTACCTTATTAATCTTGTAATTTTCTATCTTATGAAGAACTTAATTTTAAAGTTAAAGGTAGAGGGCTAGGGATGTGCTCAGTAGTAGAAAGCTTGCCTAGCATGCTCTAGACCCTGGGTTCAATCTCCAGGACCACAAAACAAAAGAAAATGAAATAGGATATTATTGAAATCCTCATTTTAGTCACTTTAATTTGTTATTCCCAGGGTTAAGCTTTTTTTGTTTCATAATTTTCTGTATAGTTTTGAAGCTTTCCATATATATTTGTCTGTTTTTTTCTTTTGACACAACATTTTAATGTGTTGCCTAGGCTATCCTGGAACTTGAGATCTTCCTGCTTTAGCTACCTGAGTGCTGGGATTACAGCTGTGCACTACTACACCTGCTCAAAGCTTTTTAATTTAATGGATATAGAATATGAAATTATGCTATAAATATACTCTTATTTTCATTTGGTTTACATTGTATAATGCTTTTTTTATGTGCTATAGTGCAAACTTGGATGAGGCTGCACAAGCTGGCACCAGTTCACTACCGGTGATGTTGGATCACCGTCCTGTTGCTATTACAGTGGAGGTGAAGCAAGAAGAAGACATTAAACCACCTCCTCCACTGGTTTCAAATCCTCCACACAGTGATACTTTAGAACAAAGAGAAGAACATGAATTAGTACATGTAATGGAAAGATCTTTGTCACCATCACTTTCCTCTGTTGATATGAGAATGACATCGTCTCCATCTTCTGTTCCAAGGAGAGATGATTTTTTTCGGCATGAGAGTGAAGAACACATTAGGTCACTATTAGGGTATGATCCCCAGATTCTGCAAATGTTAAAAGAAGAGCATCAGATAATTTTAGAAAATCAAAAAAATTTTGGATTATATGTTCAGGAGAAGAGGGATGGATTGAAAAGAAGGCAGCAGCTAGAGGAAGAGCTACTAAGAGCAAAAATTGAAGTGGAGAAGCTGAAAGCAATTCGCTTACGGCATGATTTACCTGAATATAATAGTCATTAAATGACTAATTTGGGAATATTCTGAGCAGAACACAGTTTTTGAAAAATGTTAATCTCTATTATGGAAAAATCTTTAGACATGATTTTCTTTTTCTTTCTCTTTTTATCTCCATATCTTTTTTTGGTGGTACTGGAATTTGAACTCAGGGCCTCATGCTTGGCAAGCACTCTCCCACTTGAGCCACACTCCTGGCCCTTTGTTTTGCTTTAGTTATTTTTCAGATAGGGCCTTGATTTTGCCTGGGTTCTGGCCTTGGACTGAGATCTTCCTACCTACACCTCCTGGATTATAGAGATTATAAATTGTACTACCATGCTAGTCTTGTGTGTTAAAGATGTGGGGGTCTTGCTAACTTTTTATTTAGGCTGGCCTTGAACCTCTAGCCTCCTATTTTCTGAGTAGCTGGGATTACCAGGAGTGGCTTTTTTTTTTCCAGTTTTTTTTTTTGAGACAGAATTTCTCTGTGTGTCTCTGGCTGGCCTCCAACTCTTGATCCTCCTGTTTTACCCTCCCAAGTGCTGGGATTGTAGGTGTGCATCACCATGTCTGACTTTCTCTTCTTTGATAGAATTTTCTAAATATTAAACTTTCTTTTTAGTTATTAAAGCTTACTGATTGGTTGGCATAGTAATTGTCATCTCCCAATTTTTTTCTAAGATGTTTAATTTTTGGCCTCATAAAGACCTTTTATTTTGATTATTAAAATATACACAAATATGTATACAAACGTGTTCTTTCAAGGTTTTTAGTTTTCGACATTTTTTGTTAGAACTTTGGAAAAAGTGATAAAGGTTTTTTTTTCAATGGTTTCTTTTTTTGTTTGTTTTTTTGATAAAGGGCCTCAAATTTGGCAGTGCTCATGATTCAGCCTCTTGAGTGCTAGGATTATAGGCTTGTGCCACCAGGCCTGGGTCAAAAGTTTTAAAGTCAGTTTGATTTAGAAACTATTCTAATAACAAGCTTATCTATCTGATATGGTTTTTTATGTTTTTGTCTTTTGAAGGAATTGAGTCCTCTGTTTTAGAAATGGAAGATATTTGGGAAATATTTCAGTTTAGAGGTGATAAAGTTGAGGTCTAGGGAGAACTCAATGATTTACTCGAGGTAACATAGCTATTTATGACAGAGCAAGGACCATTATTCAGTGTTTTTTTTTTGTGTGTGTGAGTTTTAATTCTCTATTCTATGGAAGTAAAAATCCACCAAAATATTTCCAGATTTAAAATTAAAATTTATTTCATAAAAAATTTCTCTTAGGGCTGGAGATATAGCTCAGTGTAGAGTACCTGCCTAGACATGCCAGGGCCTGGGTTCCATCCCTAGCATAGTATAAGTAAACTTGCTTTTAAAGATTGTTAGGTTATGTAATCAGGGGAATTGTACCATTACCCTATCCTCTTCTCTTTTTTGTCCAGCAAAATGAGATATCTTACTGAAGCTGTAATATATTTTGACTGTGTGATTTAAAATTTATATTTAATTCATTTAAAGTATTTTATTCTGGGAAAGGTTTCTTTCACAGTGGAAATGAGAATAAAAACTGAAAATTTTACTGAGAATAAAAGCAAAAAAATCATGCTTATGTGTTTATAGTTTACAATATAATCTGTAGTCATGATTTCTGCAAATACTGCTATTTTAGCATCTGGAAATAAGACCTTTATTTTTAAAGCATACATATTTAATGTATGTTAAATCTTTAATATGTGTAAGGATTTTTCATTTTTTTTCTGTTTTGGAGAATTTCCATTTTTACTGGAATTTTGTTAAGGAAAGATTTTAGAATGGGGTGGGTGGAGTTTCAGAAATACTAGGGAGAAAGGGGTGTTTGAAGCCCTTTGAGGACATAGAGGATGGGATGAAGTGGATCAGGGTGTGCAGCTAGGTGACTTAAAGTGAGAGGGTGGAGAGCAGTTTTGGCTGTGGTAACCTGGACAGAGATCTTCATAGACTAACTGGGGTAGCTTTGGTTTGGCTTGAGCAGAAATTTTACGTGCAGGAATAAGCCAGATTATGTGAAAATTTCCAATTCCGAAATGTTTGCAAATTGTTAAAAATGTCTTTAAAATCCGGTACCGACATGGAAGTAGGTCTCATTCTGCCACTGAGCTTCCAGTTTGTGGATGGTGGACTAGAGCAATGGTTCTCTGAGTGTGAGTCCTGCACAGCAGCATCACTTGAGAACTTGTTGGAAATGTAAATCTGTTCCAGTTGAATCAGAAATTCTGGGGGAGGGTCTGGCAGTCTCTTATTATATGTCCTACAGAGATTCTGATGCTAGCTAAATTCTGAGAGCCAATGAAATAGAATATTTTAGAACTGAGCTTGGTGCTTAAATCATGCTAGATTCTTAAAAAATTGTTGTTGAAGAGTGAAGTAGGATGAAAGTGAACTGAAGGATATCAGTTTGGATGTTGGTTGGTGTCAGATTATGAGTTATAGTAAATGCTATTTTTAAGGAGTCAGACTTAACCTGAATGTACAATGGGATGCCATTGAAGGCTTTTTCCTTTATTGTGGAGATGATACGATTAGAGCTGTGATTTATTTAGGAAGTTACAGCATTTGGAGTAGTCATTGTAGTGAGAAAATTAAATTTAGGTTATGGCTATTGAAATAGAAAAAGTTAACAAAGTGAACTCTTATGGGTATTATGTTGGTCTATTGATTACTTAATTTCATTGATTGAATTTAAAATGCATATTGTACTTGCTATTAGTGTTAAATTTTTTATTATAAAAAGTCTTAGAGTATATGATATATCCTTTTGACAAATTTCTCTTTTAATCTGTGCTATAACTTTGAGTGTAATGAAACTTATTTCATGTAATATTTTAATAATTTGGTTCTAGTAAATACATCTTTACAAAAGAAAGCTTTAACTTTCTGAAATTATTAAAAGTGAATTACTGTATGAAATGTGATTCATATTATAATTTCAGCATGCTAAACTCAAAGTCAATAATGAATATTCAATTTGAGTGGTGACTTTGTAGCAAAATCAGTTTTCCAAAGTGTGTTTGTGGGATATTAATTCTGTGAAATGTATCTAGAAAATAGTTCTGCATTCAAAAAAGTAAGCATAGTCTTTTTTGATAGTTTGGTTCTAATATCAGTGTGGAAAATAAAAATTATGTACAAAATTGTTTTTGAAAATTCCCTTGGGCTGGAGGTGTGGCTCAAGCAGTATAGCACCTGTCTAACAAGTGTGAAGCCCTGTGTTCAAACCTAGTATCACCGAAAAAGAAAAAAAAATTTTTTTCGTGGTGTTCATAAAATAACATAAGTATTACCTGTTATAATCAATCATATTCTTCTCTGGCATTGTTCAGGGTTACTATTTCTTTGGTTGTGTTGTGACACAGTTTGTTAGGAGTTAGGGGCTGTGTAGAATAAGAAACCTTATTTTTATGTATTTTTACTTTCATTTCAGTGAATTTACTGAAGCAGTTTTTCTGAGTCAGCCTTGTTTAATTTTCATTTGTAAAAGTTTAATTCTGCTCCATTCTCTAATCGCCTCCTCTGTGCAACTATGATTATCATAGTACGTTTTGGTATTGGAGGGTCTGTGGTTCTAAGAAACTGACATTGAGGAAATGCTCAGTGCAGAGTTCAGTGCTCTAAAATTATTCAAATTTCCCTGTACCATAGAAACAATAGGTATGAGCATCCTTAACTTGAAATTACACAGAGCAGGCTGCATTACTATCACAAAAAATTACTGTTTTACACATTAACTGCTCACTAAAAATGAGATCTTATTTCATGTTCTTTACTGCGAATACTGTGGATATTTGATTCATTTTTTCCATGCCACCACCCAACTTCTGCTGAAGTTTTTACTTTATCACTTAAATTAAGCACATTATATGCCCTTTTTGACTTTGGAGGATTACCATAACTTTTACCTTGCTTTTTGGAGGCAGATTTTCACAAAATTAAGGGAGGGGAAATAGAACCATGGTAACACAGGATTGACTGAGCTCTGCGTCAACTGAACTGCAGTTGACAGTTTTGACTATGCTTGGTCAAAACCATGTGTAATCCACGAATAAGGTGGACTTACTGTTATGAAAATTCCTGAATAAAACAAATTACTTCTTTGATCCTTTTGAAAGCTGTTTGTTATTTTGCCGAATGTCGTGTGGAAATTCTGAGCTAAAACTTTGTTTTTCTTTTTGATACTGAGACTTTTTGAGTTTAGGGATTGCTTGCCAACTTCATTAGCAGTTTTGGCTGAGGAGAGGTTTCACTGCAGGGAACATAGAGGAGGAAATTCTGCTGCCACCAGTGGAATATACACTGACGCTTCCAATCATCCTGCATACCACAGAGAATTGTTTGAGGCCATAGCTTTATCTACAAAATACAATGTCGGGGGAAACAGCGAAGAGTGATTTTATTTTTAGACTTGGTTCTGTAGAAGCATTTTAAATTTGAAAGATATGCTAAGTCATAAGATTATTTCATTCATTATTAGTAGTTTAGATAGCAGATGGGTTATTTTTGCTAGCTTCCTATCTTTCTCTTATCCATATAAGCTTAAATGGCCATGGCATTATTATTATAATATGGTTTTCTAAATTAGATATGATGTATAATGGCATCCTGAGAAAAGATTTCTTAAAATGTTAAAATTAAATCCCTATCTTTTTGTATAAGGAGCATCTTGGTGTTATTTCCTTTTTGAATTTCTCTATCCTGTTCCTTCTTTACTTATGTAAAAATGTTTAAAATATGAGTTATTTTTCCATGTGCCTTCTTGTAGAGTAATGTCACATTTTAAATAGTCATGTTTAAATATCTCAGTGCAATAAATTGTATTTAATGTATTGTTAATGACGGTGGTTAAATAAATGCCTTGTTAAAACATATCCTTTTAGTATAAAATAACATACTGATTTGTGTACTCTTTGTTGCCATAAGACAAAGAACTCAGTAAAATAGAGACGAAATTTTTTGATGAGGTGTAATTGAAATTTATTTACATGATTGTATTA